AAGACAGTGTTAATTGTCTATTAAGATTAAACATTTAGTATTCTTGTAACTGAATCAGAATTGCATCTGCCTGTATAAAATGAAAACAAAAAGCTAAATTCGGAATTTGTAAACATTATTTTACAAAATTCGTACCCACTTACAAAATTAGGTTAACATTTAAAACACATTTTTATGCTTTATGACCTTTATGAAGATGTAGAAAAAAGCCCCACTGCGAAACCACTCCGCGAAGAGTAACAAAAACCGACATATAAACATAAACCATCACAATTTTAAAACGAACTAATGACTGCATTAGATGATATCAAGTACGTTAAAGATGCACTTAAATACGTTAAACAAATTTGCATCCAACAACTGTTCGACATTAGCTCAATGAGTTAGTCTATATTTTTATGTGCTGATACTCACTGTTTGTCTGAGCTTTCAACAGTGTGTGTTTACCCGCTCCTAAGTCAGATCAAATTTTAAAAAAAAAAATGATAAAATTTACTGCTCCGAGGTCCGCTTAACATTCTTGCAAATAATCTCTGAACTCTGGACAATTCACTGCACACTGTCTGAAATGTGATTTTCATTGTTTTATTTGTATGTTACTCTTACTAAAATATAAAGGGTCTTACGTCGTGAAACATGTTTAATTGTGTTTTAGAAAGATTGTTTAAAACCATTCACAATTGATTAAATGCATAATCAGCCATTAAAAAAATATTATTTTTAAGCTCGCTATATTTCTTCAAATCAAAATCTGTATCAACCAGCTTTATCTTTTTTTTTATCTACATCAACCAGATATTATCATAGAAGAAAAATGTACCTATTACTGTTCAAGATTTTGAATATCCTAATTTATAACGACATTAAACATGCTCTCTAAAATTACTAATATAACATCAAAGTTATAAAATTTAAAGATTCATAAAATAGGAAAATAGCTTTTATTGCATTTACATTTTATACGCAATTTTCTATGTATTCAAGAAAGGAAATACACGAGAAGACTAATGCTATACATATTATAAAAAGTTTAGAAATTATGTTAATAGCAAAGGAGAAAATTTGGTTATCCAATAATGCACACATTTTAGTTAGTAAGCAGAAAATAAAATAGGTTCATACTTATCATGTTAAGCCCACCAAACTCTTCTAGTGTTCGAAGATCCTTAATATATTGCTGTTCTATTGTACGTATATTTTCTTGCTGTTCACAGCGATGCAATATACAAAATCTAAAGTTGTCCATCGTGTGTTCTGTACGAAAGTGCACGTACAGCAGTTTGTGCTCTTCAATTCCGTTAGTGATAAATTTGTAGTGTTCATTCATTCTGCATAATACGTGTCTTTTTGTAAGTCCTACATATTGCCTATCACACATGGTACAGTAAACTAAATAAATAACATTTATGTTCTCATTTGACTGAATAGTGTGGTGATTTACGCCAACATCTTGCAGCGTTTCATACTTTGCTATTAACGTGTGTTTATCCTCTTGATTTATAGCACGACGTGTTTGATGTATAGCCGAAACCTAATTTTGGAGTAAAAAAGAACAACTAAAACGTGCAAACAAAACAATTTTAGTATTATACAAACTCATAAATATACGTTGTTTCTACATCTACATCTACATCTACATCTACATCTACATCTACATCTACATCTACATCTACATCTACATCTACATCTACATCTACATCTACATCTACATCTACATCTACATCTACATCTACATCTACATCTACATCTACATCTACATCTACATCTACATCTACATCTACATCTACATCTACATCTACATCTACATCTACATCTACATCTACATCTACATCTACATCTACATCTACATCTACATCTACATCTACATCTACATCTACATCTACATCTACATCTACATCTACATCTACATCTACATCTACATCTACATCTACATCTACATCTACATCTACATCTACATCTACATCTACATCTACATCTACATCTACATCTACATCTACATCTACATCTACATCTACATCTACATCTACATCTACATCTACATCTACATCTACATCTACATCTACATCTACATCTACATCTACATCTACATCTACATCTACATCTACATCTACATCTACATCTACATCTACATCTACATCTACATCTACATCTACATCTACATCTCCATCTCCATCTCCATCTCCATCTCCATCTCCATCTCCATCTCCATCTCCATCTACATCTACATCTCCATCTCCATCTCCATCTCCATCTCCATCTCCATCTCCATCTCCATCTACATCTACATCTACATCTACATCTACATCTACATCTACATCTACATCTACATCTACATCTACATCTACATCTACATCTACATCTACATCTACATCTACATCTACATCTACATCTACATCTACATCTACATCTACATCTACATCTACATCTACATCTACATCTACATCTACATCTACATCTACATCCACATCCACATCCACATCCACATCCACATCCACATCCACATCCACATCCACATCCACATCCACATCCACATCCACATCCACATCCACATCCACATCCACATCCACATCCACATCCACATCCACATCCACATCCACATCCACATCCACATCCACATCCACACCTACACCTACACCTACACCTACACCTACACCTACACCTACACCTACACCTACACCTACACCTACGTCTACGTCTACGTCTACGTCTACGTCTATATACTACTAAAACTCAAGTTTGTTAATATGTTTGAATATTTATTTTTTTTTTGTCTTTTTGGTTACAGGATAGAATCTGCAATATGTGTAGAGCTGTAGAATACGTAATTAGGCTATTGTATACTAAAATTAAAAGAACTGGTGAAAATTGATAATAATAATGAAACCTAATAAAAATAGCAAACGGACGTATTGTTAAAGCTACAGCCGACAACAATTAGCTTTATAATGCGTTAAACTTTAGAATGGGCAACAAAATCTTATATGGAAGGCGCCATTATTGTTATAATGTAAAGTCATTGTTCTGAACGTTTATAATTAATATGGTTAATCTTCGCATGAATATATCAAACGATTAATTAACGTATTTAAATTAAATTGTGATTAATAGCTTGGTCTTTGTATTAGCTATGGAATTGGCTAATTTAGGTTAAAATTTAATTTGAAATAATATTAAGGCCTATTAGCGTAAATCAAGTATCTTACGCAAAATCAAAGTACAATATAAGCTAAAAATCGCCGAGATTGCTAAGGTGTTAGTGTAATAGGTAGTGCGGGTGGCACGGGTTTTTTTACAATTTAATTTTTTTGGATGTAAATGGTAAAGTTGCCTTCGGAACTTGTCGGAATGCGGGGCAGGTGAAGTAGAGTTCACCTGTTTCTTTGTCTTCAACATATAATGGGATAGTGTGGTCAGAGCCTTGCTCGGCAGAGATCTTTTTTTCAAACGATAAAAACACGTTGTTTGAGAATCGGCGGGACACAGGGCAGGTGAAGTAGAGTTGGGTAGGTGTAGAGATCACATATGACGTCAGCAAATGAAGGGATAGTGTTGTCAGACCCCTTATATGGGTTTTAAAAGACAAAAACGTGTCTGATTGGCGGGACACTGGGCAGGTGAAGTAAAGTTGACCTGTTGTTTTTTTTTTTTACCCCAGCATATAAAGGGATAGTTTGGTTAGACCCATGCTCAGTCGAAATCGTTGTTTTAAAAGACAAAAACTTGTCTGATTGGCGGGACACTGGGCAGGTGAAGTAAAGTTGACCTGTTGTTTTTTTTTTTACCCCAGCATATAAAAGGATAGTTTGGTTAGACCCATGCTCAGCCGAAATCGTTGTTTTAAAAGACAAAAACTTGTCTGAGGTGTGACGTCTTTTTAAATGTAGGGTCTGGTTTTCTAATCTGGATAGGTAGTACCCCTTCAAATGTTTTAGTAGTAGGTATGTGCTGGTTTTTGTATAACGCATTAGTAAGAATAATAATTATAATAATTAAACGGGTAATTCGATTTTTAAGCATATTATAGTATTTTATAGCGATGTTTATACTTTATATAAGTACGCTTAGTGATGATTGATAGTGTTAGAGTTGTATTGTCGATACGCAGGTGTAAGGGCTTTGTTATTATATCGACACGATGATAATATATGGTAAGTTGTCACTATGATCTACTTTTGATATGTGTTATGGTATGTTATTTTAAGTATTATATTTGATGTTTGAGGTTTCACTTCGTTGGCGTGGGAATGAACCCAATAGCTAAGCGTTATAGTTGATTTTTTCCCCTGGATAATTAGGTGTCGCCACCCGGCAACAATTCGAAGGGGGTGGGGGGAGCGTTGATTATGCCTTTGTTACTAAGAGTGATGAGGCCGGTTTTATTTCTTGTAACTCGATGGTTTGCTGAGTAATGTTTTTTTTCAAGGTTGCTGGTCTGTGTTGGTAAGAATTATGATGCAGACTGATTTTTTTTCGATTTTTTTCTTATGTATTTAGTAGGCCCTACCTGCTTATGGATTTAAGAATTCATGGTAACTAATCCTCGATGTGATATGCATTTGGTTACTGAAGCTGTTTATGATTATTATTGGTATCCTGTATTGTGTCTTATAAGATAAAGATATACCTCAACTAGCGATACGACGAATTATGGATTTTGGTATGTTTAACTCTAATAAATTACTTAGCACTAAAGAATTTATTGAAACATTGTTTCATGTCTTAAATAATGATGTCACAGCGCCATTCATATGAGTTCTCAAATCGTAACAGGCACATCCCGAGTTATAACATAAACTATTTATCAACTCTAAACATTGAAACTTTTATTGCAAACTTTATCCAATTATAAAAAATATATACTTACTGCAACATCTGAATAATTCTGTATTAACTGAACGATGTTTTGATGTCCAGAATTCTTAGCCACATTTAATGCTTTCTGGTAATTGTATCCAACATGATGTTTCCTAATAATTCTATCTAGTAGCATCTTCGCAATATCAGTTGTTTTCAGCAGCTATCATTAAAGCATCCTTACCCTGCTTGTTAGCTACGGTTAGATCGACTCTTCTAATTAGAAGCTTTATTATAAGTTCTGATCCTCCTTCAGAGGCTATCATCACAGCGTTGTTTCCGTCGCTGTTCTGTTGCTTAACGTCAACCAGTTTATTAAGACGTTTCACTGTTTCTAAATCTCCATTTATGGCGGCTAACATTAAAGCATTGTTTCCATTGCAGTCAGTAGCTTTAATGCCAACCTTGTGTCTTATAAGAAGTTTCACAACAGCAGTATGTCCATTTTTAGCGGCTAACATCAATGCATTCTGTTTATTATTATTTACAGCTCTAACCCCAATTTTTATTTCGCAAAGAAATTCAACAAGGTTTCCATGCCCGTTTTCAGCTGCTAACATTAGAGCATTGTTTCCGTTGTTGTTAGTAGCTCTTACATTTCCTTTATGATTTATAAGAAGCTCAACTATATCAATATGTCCTTTTTCAGCCGCTAACATCAGAGCGTTGTTTTTATTTTTGTTCGTTTCCTGTATATTAACCTTTTTAATAAGAAGTATAACTGCTTCTAAATGCCCATTCATTGCGGCTAACATTAAGGCATTGTTTCCATGACGGTTAGAAGCTTTTACATTTCCTTTGTGTCTTATAAGAAGTTCTACAACATCAGTATGTCCATTTTTAGCAGCTAACATTAATGCATTGTTTCCAATTGTGTTTTCTTCTTTAATCTTAACTTTTCCTATAAAAAAAATTACCAACTCATAATGGCCGTTTTGTGCTGCAACCATTAAAACGTTGTTCCCGTCACCATCTACAAGTTCCAAAGATTTCTTTTTGGGTAACTGCAATTTATTTATTTTTGTTCCATTTCTAACATCTCTCATTAGTTTCCGCCATTTTCCTATATCATCCATTCTGACAAATATTTAAATACTTTTTGATCAGTTGTATTGGTCTCTTCAAATAATATATTGGAATTATTTTTTCACAACAAGCGAAGTCAAACATTCGTCAAGGTTTTTCCTAGATGATATTTCATTTTTAATCTAATTAATCGTCAATCAATATGGAACTACTAACACCATAAGTTGTTGGTTTTCATCCAACCGCCAATTGCAAACTCGTTGAGAATACTCCGGGCAGTGTTTTTATTCCAGACATTTTTTTCTGAAAAGGTGCATAAAAGAAACTCAGAGTTTTTGGGAAGGTATTGGCCATTAATATTTTATTTCGGAGGGCGATTCCCCGGCAGTAAGGCGGTGCAGTTTGCCACCCAGTTTCCCTATCTTTGCACCTGGAGTCCGTTTATTAGGTCAGCTTTAAGACGTGATCCAACGGTCAAACTTCAAAGGCACGGTCGTGTAACTCAGTATTCGTTTTAATGAGCCCAATACACTAGGCAGTCTGTGTGGTAGGGTCGGTTAAGCATGACCATGACCATGCCCATAACCATAACCATAATTAAATAGCAAAAAAAAGGTGGCAAATCGCACACATGCCAATTGCCAAAACGTCGGAGGACGTACCCTATTTGATTAAGTAAACGATTAAAGTAGCCCATATTATCCTCTCCCATTTCGATAAAACAGACTATCCTACCCTTCTCCGCAAGGAACAACGATACCAAAGTAAAACGTAACTTTCTTTCTTACCGCGTCATAAATTCACCATCTTTTATTATGCAAAACCTTTCACAACAAACATACTATTATACCTGTTATGTCCGACCTCCGGCAGCCGCGGAGGAAGCGGACGCCCCAGGTTCGTTTGGTATGGTACCGATAGAAGACGTTGTAACGGAATCTCAACAACTTGCCGTGAGCTCGTTAATGCAGTCTAGGGGTAAATCACGACAAATCAAAGAGACTCACACGCCTTAAACTATGAATACCTTTTTAATTTATGTACAAGAAAATGACACTAGGTAAGATCAAAATGTACAGATTCTCAGTGTAATATAAATGAACTCAACTCCAACTTACAGTTTGAGAAAAGTCACAATATCACAGCTGTGATAAATCATTAATACACACAACTGAACTGGCCTCATAATAACCACAACAAAAGACCAAGGAGAGACAATTTGCCTCTACTACAATAGAAATCCTTATACAGGTTAAACTATCACCGATAGTCAAAAAGGTGTAATAATACACCAGAACACAAATTCAGTAAACTACAACTAGTCACATAATTCCTTATACAAAAGGTGAAATCATGTCACAAAATAACAATACTGCAAAATGGCGTACCTAACCACAGGCACACCTCTCCTGGTCCCTAGGTCAATCTGGCGGCCTCTGGACTTGAGAATCCCGTGATTAAATACAACTCAGAGTAAGGGGAAATAACTCAAAAGTCTTACGACTATTGGTTGAGGGTCAGTCAAGGATCCTCACGGTCGCAAGTCCATTGGTTGAGGTTCTGCCAGGGATTAAACTTACAATCACATGATGTGACAGCGTTCAGTTGACCGGGTTGTACCAGTGAACTGACAATTCTCCCAAGGACAAATACATAACTCAGGAGGTTAAATATACATAAAGCCAAACAGACCTAAGTAGGTCACATACCCATGCATCCCATTAATAAAATTCATAACATTACCCCTATCTCCCTCGATCTATTATCATGAGCTATAAAGGGTGCTCATTATAGTATAATATAATAATGCACATTTTTTCATATGCTCTTGTATAGATCAAAATGACTGACGAAACCTGTTCGCTTTAATAAGGTTTTATTTACAGACGCACGAATTCACTTTCTGATTAGATCATGTAAAATATGAAAATAATAAAACACCATCTTCATTTTTCTATTATTATGCGTGTTAAACGCCAAATACTCCCCTCCCACCGGGGCGCCGGAGGACACTTCTGATTCTATTTAATAAAGGATTATAATAGCCCATAATCCATAGTGCACTGGTTCCCACACGGTGGGTCACGACTTCCAGGGGTGTCGCGAAGGGTCGTCTATTTAAAATAGGGGTCACCACTCAGAAACGTTTGGGAACCTATGAATTCTAGTAAGACGTAGCGTCACGCAACCATGAGCAATGTAAGAATCATTTACAATGCAGACAGCTCATTGTATTATACGTATTAGCTATTTTAAAATAAGCTGTCTCTCCAAGATGCAAAGAACAAAAAACCACTTGATATGTATTTATAATGTGATTGAAATATAATTCAACTCATGAAGTAATCAAACTGATAAAGAGTCTTACCTGATTTGTCTCTCATTCAACTTATAGTTGCTTGCTGCCGCGTTTTAAGCTAACAACAAACGAAGATCGATATTTATATGCTAGCCTACTCGTTTATTTTTTTAGCAGGCAATCCTAGCCAATATTGATTTATTGATTATTTTTGGCATGTATAAAACTATGGACTAGAATCATTGTGTCTGGAGAAAAAAAAACAATTTTCAAACACTTTAACCTTAGTGTAGATCAGGGGTCTCCAAACTACGGCCCGCGGAGATCTTTTTGTCCACGGAAAAAAACGTTTGTTGGTGATGGCTGAGGAACTTTGTCCAGAAAAATAAAAGACATGCCTGGAAGAAACGGCCCTCGAAGTGAAATTTGATAGTTAATGCGGCCCTCGGACTGAAAAGTTTGGAGACCCCTGGTGTAGATCAGTAACTTAAATGCAAAATTTGCTCGAATGAATAAAACTAAACCTTCTTGGTGGACACTATTTCAGTAAACATTTTAATAAATATATATGACAAATAATAATACACATTAATAGAAACCAACAAAATAAATTACCAGTTTATTTTATTTTTTTAATTACAATTCTAACCGTAAATCAAACGTAATGTATTGTATTTATCTGAAATAAAATGAACACATACTAGAAAAATAAAAGGCTACTTATGTTTTTAAAGAATCTATTGTTATTTCATTGGGTAAGAACTATATTGTTGCATACATTATTGATTACAGACATCAACATGTTTTTAATTGTTATTACATTTTATTTTAATTTGAAAATATATCACAATGTTCAGTGTTTAATATTTAATGTGTAAATTATTATTTTTTAAAATTATTTTATTATTGCACAACTTATACAATAATATATTGGAACTGCATTCTCGATTAAACCTTCACAACACCGTATGCAGTGCAACACTTGCGTAAAAATGTCTGTTCTGTGAAATAAACTACATGTGACATAATGAAAAAATACACAAGTAGCATTAATTAATAAACCTTTATTTTAATGTGTAGGGAAAAGAGTGTTGTCTCTAATGTCTAAACTCGACAATCTTAACAAAAATAACACAAAGTCCAAACATGACCAATAAAATTAGTTGATTTTAGAGTTTAAAATATACAAACAGCAACCGAAATATGTGTTTAGGTATACTATTGACCCTCCCTCCATTTAAAAAAATACCCGCATTTGAAATGTATTTTATCAGATCGCATCATGATGGAATGCGGACCGGTATATGTGTTAGTGTTTGTGCGGATGTCCAACCTTCATTTGTATATTAAAAACTCAGAAAACCACGTGACACAAGAGATAAGAATGTATTAACTCTCTAGCTAAAAATACCAGCAGTTTACATTTTATTTTCTATCTAAGAATACTTTCGTATTTTCAGTAGCATTTGTTTACTTATCGTTTAACCGTTTTTCATGTAATATACACACACTTGCGCGCACACACACTCATATACAGCTTTATATATAAATATATATATAAATATATATATATATATAAATATATATATATATATATATATATATATGTGTGTGTGTGTGTGTATGTATATATAGGGGCCCCCAACATGTTTTAGCCAGGACCCTACTCAAGCTTAATCTGTCCCTGTTGTTCAGTCTACAGTCTACACAATAGATTGTGTTCTGGCTGTAACCTAGTTTGTTCGTTGGCGCGGAATGTTGTTGATGCATGTTCTGTGACCTGGTGGGACAATCTAACCGGAGGTGCTTAACTGTATTGACAGTGACTCTAATGACAGACACATTCTGACGAAGGACATTTATTGATAACTGATACGTTTTGACGACTTGCATTTTGACAAAAGCATGTTTAGAGGAAAGTCATATTATTACCACAGCTATTTTCTTACCACAGTCACATTCTGACCAGTCACATTTTGACAAACATTTTGTCACATTCTAATCACAGACACGTTATAAACACACTCACATACAAACCACAGACATATTCCATCAAGTAAAACCAATGTAGCCTAAAGTTCTTTTATTCTTTTAACTCAACCCCCACAGAGATATTTCAACACCTGGTAAGTTGCGCAAGTTCTTGCAGCGCTGCTGTTTGTCTACACACAGAGATTGTTTACTGGCTTCGTACCAGTTTGTTTGTGAAGTGGAAGACTTGTTGATGTATGATCTAGCACCTGATGGGGCAATTATTGAAAAGGTGTTTGCATAAACGTATTGACGGTGTTAAAAACAAAACAAAAAACGTGTCTAGAAATTTTATCACAATATTTAATCGAAGGGTTACATCGTATTTTAAATAAAGCGCTGCAATTAAGTTACAATTGAAACTGCATAACTATATATAGATGACTTAAACAATACTAAACTTAATCAAGCCGAGATGTTTATAAAAAAACACTGTGGTTGTCCTGAAAATATGTTTTTTATTTAGATCTTATAGGACATGATATTGGGATGGGATGTTTGGAAGTGTGCAGCATACCCCATATAAATTTACGGCGTGATTAAAATAAAATGTTCATTGGCACAATTGGAAAACTGAAAATTTTTGATTCGTTGTTTTGTAAATACAAAACAAGTGCTTTAAGAGGGGGATATTTAATATTGTTTTACTTTTAGGTTTTCTAAACCGAATGTTAATTATTTAAATGTATATGGGCTCGTACCAACGCATTATACAAAAACTGATCAACATTCCTAAAGCGTGCATGAACTTGTAGGCGTAGGCTGATTGATCAAGCAAAGAAATTGAAAACTAAAACGTCTGGTTCCAGTGTTGTGTCTATACACGCATAGGACAGTGATCTCTGAACACAATGGACTAGGTCGGCGTGGGGTAATACAAGACGGTTAATGATCATGCATGAACACATCGCTAAAAGTAGAGACCTTTTTTGGAACTCAGCGGTGTGTAGATTGATTTGATCAATGAGTGATTGTATTTAGGTTAGGAGTTCTCACAATATTTGCTACATATCATTTAGCTCAGCTTGTATTAAAGATATTACCAACCATAAGTGCGTAACAATGTTTTAAACGTGTCGAAAAATTAATTTAGTAGTTAAAATAAATACGAAAAATAATTACTAGATTGAAATAAGGATACAAACATAAAATAATGGATACAATGATTATGGTCGAATAGTAGGCCTAAATTAAACTAAAGTAAACATACATACCTAGCAGTATCATTATTTTAAGATCACACAGGTATTAAAAAGCTTATCAATTTTTAAACAACATACATATCGCATTTGCACTCTTCAATACTAGACGTCATGAACGTAACAGAAACGCGACATTTGTAGTAGGCCTAAATAAAAAGCGTACTCTATTAAATGTGTCTTCTTTTAGTAAAAACAGTTCAATAAAAAAAATAATAGCAATATTTATTTTTAAATTTAAAATATCAAAAAAAGTTTCTCAATTTGTTAAAAGTGTAGGCAAAACAAATACTTTATCCAAGTTTGGTTACAATGAATGCCACTAAAACTCTAAAACGAACCACGACACAAAAAAATCAAATGGGTTGTACATACATGTATAAAAATATATGTAAGTATTTGGCTGTGATTTATATTTGACCTGAGCGACCATTCTGTTTTTTTTTCTTTTATCTTTACACATTTACTATTTTTAAAATAAAAAAGGCGTGCCGATTGTATTCAACATTTACAGAACATTGGTTAGTTTATTCGCTTAAAACAAATTACTTTATATTTTAATTAGTTATTTTTAAATTTGGTATTATGTGTATAGAACAGTCTCTTCAAACTTTACAAAACAACGTTAAGTCTTAATAACTTCTTGTAGCCTTATTTTTCTTGTTTAATTGTTTTTCTTATATGCATCACAGTGTTTGTTATAAAGCGAATACATCGGTTTGAGTCTTTCAACTGTAAAAGAAGAAAAGTTGATTGTCAAACAAAACAATTTTCACACATTAAATCAAGTCATTAACATAGACTGATTGCGGTTTTTATTAAAATGATTCTTATTTCGAAAATATTTATGTTAAATTCATTAAACCAATATTATATTTTGATCAAAGAAATTACTATTTGCTTTACATGTATTGGTAATAGAAATCTTTTACCAAATAAAATGTGTATGAACAATCAGTCGTTTGGCCATTACCAAATCTTTGCTTACAAGCATATCGCTTTAATCCCAGTCTTTTAGCGCCAGTGTTCAAGATACGACACTTATTCTTTGCGTTTATTATGCAAAGTGTTATTGATACAATAATGCAGGTGATTCAATCTTACGCTCTATATAAAATAACGTATAATGCAGTTTATAAGTTTTGACGTAAGTAACATACCTGCTAGCGCTTTTCATGTTTAGACCGTTTGGAAGTTTTGTGTTTAGTTTTCTAATATACATTTCCTCGATCGTCGTCACGATATCATCATCTCTGCAGTGATGTAGAATGCAAAACCTGAAATCTTCTATACTGTGAGTTGTTGTAAAGTGATCGTACAACATAATGTTTGGTTTCGTATTATTTTTAATATCGTTTATATGTTCCCTCATTCGAATAAATACATTCCTCTGCGTACTTCCAACATACTTTGTCTTGCACACATTACAGTGTATTAAATACACTAAATGTTCATTACTTGATCGAGAATGAAAAACGTCTTTTTTACTGATGCCTAAATCACCATAAGTATCATAACTGCAAACCATCCTATCTTTGTTGTTGAATTTTATATCTTTTGTTACTTTGAAAGCAAAACATTCATTTTCTAGTTGTTCAGGGGAATAATTATTTTCCTGTAATAAAAAAAAAATGTGTTAGGCTGTTTTTAAAATCCTAATATATAAAAGCCCGTATGCGCACTTCTCTCTCTCTCTCTCTCTCTCTCTCTCTCTCTCTCTCTCTCTCTCTCTCTCTCTCTCTCTCTCTCACACACACACACACAATCACTCTGGATGCAACATTTTCAAGGCTATGTGATCAGTATTTTCAGCGATATACGGATAACTTAAAGATACGGACTTTGGTTGAAAATAATATGTTGGATGTTTTAAATGCATAAACTAAATTTTATATAAATAAGGAAAATAAAAATAAAGGCTTTTTCGAATTCAAAAACATTTTTTTTTAATTATGCAACTGAAAAAGCGTTTATTGCTGTGACAAGAACGCTAAAGACAATGACGTCACATGTCACATGTTTAAACTACGGAAAGTATACAAAACTAATGGCTTCATCTTTCAATTTTAGAATTATTATGAAATATTCTATTAAAATTTGATTTAGATCTGTAGGTCTACTCAGCAAGACGTACACTTTGAAATATATACAATTTTCTCGGTCAAAGGTATCACACATTACTTTAAAAAACATCATACATACTGTTGAACAGTGCATTTAATACGGTGCTGTGTTGACTAATAATGTATATAATTTGGTTTTTCTATTAGATATTGGTAGTTTTAATTCTATGTTATTTTAAATGTGTCGGAATTTTAGCTATTTAGTTATTGATATGTCATTAATATCATTCAACGTGTTGTAAAGCAAATTTCGATTTGACCAATAACTATTTTATAAAATATGTTCTCAAATAAGTATAACGTTAAAAATGTGTAGGCCTATAATTCACGTATAACGGGTACCGACGGCTAGTTTAACGATACATTTTATGTCTTTTTATTTTCTTACTATAAAATCATTTAACAGATCAATCAGATGTCACAATAAATTCAGTTAATATTGAAACAAGATTGAAGAAATATAGAAATATGTGGTCATCTATTCAAAACATCAATATGGAAGTTTGGGGAGGTGTCTGGGCACATGTGAACATCTACAATGAATGTAACATACCTTTATGTTACAACAAACTCAAAGCCTTTATTTCGTCTATACAATATTATTATATAAATAGGTGCTCTAACTTAATAACAAAAACATAGCACAGTTGGTTATTAAATATCTCATTTTATAAAATGAGTACCTTTGTGAGTAATAGAGGAAACATGGCACGCAGTTTGTGGGTGGGAAGTTTCATCGGAAGTTAACGGGAGGGGGGAGGTCTAAGCGTTTTAGTTTTTGTGTGAATGACCCTAAATGAAAACTTGTAGCTAATTTAGCAGGTAAAATGTGGTAGCCTGACAGATGAATGGGAATACGTTTTGACACGAGTGTGAATCTAAGTGAGACAAATGTGTGACTAAATATAACCAATAATGTAAAAATGTGTGCTTAGAGATTGTGGTAGTTATATTCCCGACACTAAATCTTGTTAACAGAGTAGAGTCTGAAAAAATCGTCCGATATTTTACTTGTTGATGAGTGGATGGAACAAGCAATTAGTTTCCGGATTGTAAACAAAAACCCTGCCAGTAGTCTCTCTCTACTTAGCATATTTCATTCATTATCTGGCTTAAGTGGGTTTGTAGTTCATAAGAAATCAGCATCTAATGGACTACTTAGTAAACCAAATGGAAGAAAGTCCATCATCTTATGTGGCTTTCGGAGTTCCTCCTTTATTAACTTGTAATGAGGAGATCGCAACAGGAAGTCGGCCACAGTATCATCGGTGAACTGTAACATCATCATGTATAACCTAATGATACTGAAAGATCAGGCGAAACATAATCGCCCTTAATCCATACTCGAGCATTCATTTCAGCCGTTCAGTTACCATGAAGCGGAACATGATACTCTGCTTTATATATATATATATATATATACCACCATGGTCGAAGTCTGGAGACAAACTACAAGTCTTCCTTATTACAATAATGTTGCCTTTTGAAATCATTGAAAGATATCCAAAACTCCCCATTTTCCTAAGCTGTAACATTGACAATCTTTTTACCGCTTCAGGTTCCTGGTTCTTCTCATCATCACCATCACATCTCTCCTTTATCAATCGCTATCACCAATGGTGGAAATAGAAAAAGGGCCACCCCGCAAAAAAAATTTTTAGGCTCCCCATATATATATATATATATATATATATATATATATATATATATATATATATATATATATATATATATATATATATATATATATATATATCCATATACAAACACAAAATACAAACATGGATACTCATCGCTACCTGTTCGGGATTTGAAAAAAGGTTCGTTTTTTTCAATTAATAAAAGTTATAACTTTATATCATGTGTGTAAGTGCATTAGTGTGTTTTGTGAAAATCAGTTTTATTTTATTTTTGCTAGAAGACCTTAATTTCTAAATGGCGTGGGTCCCTCGCATTACGGGGTCTGGCATTATTGTAGTTCCTAAAATTAACCTTTTAGATTCTGAATTTTTCTGTAATAATAACAATTACTGTTCATTTCTATTTTAATAAAGCATTTTCGTTAATAAATTCTCCATATACATACATATATATATATATATATATATATATATATATATATATATATATATATATATATATATATATATATATATATATATATATATATATATAGAATATGGATAAAATGTGGTATCATAGTTGGTCACCACGCCCAGGTAGGGTGCAACTTGGTGCCTAGTGATACTCATTGAGCACTAAAGCGCTCACGTTAGTTTTAAGGAGCACTCTGCAATTTTGACACGCTGGCACACGAGTCAGGCGCCTTATGCTACGCCCTTGCTGCAGTGTAATCAGGGGCTCCTTGTAGCACCCCTCTAAGTCAGTGACACCTGGGCGATCGCCGAAGCGTGTTTAACTTACTATTACAGTGAGTGATTAACATACAATCAAGGCTTTTATACAGCACGCCTACAGCCAGCTATGCCAGCACGCCATGGGGCATGCAGGTCGATAGTGTAAGTAAAATCGAGACTCGATATTTATGACCCAAGCGCATGCATTGTTTACGTTTAAATAATTCAGTTTTAGTAACCAAGGTCAAAATTCTAAGAATATAGGATTAGCAAAGCATTGATGAAACCCTCTTAAAATATTCCGTCAGATTTTCTTCTCAACCTTCAGTAACGCCCGCTAGTATATATAAAAAGCAATGCATGTGTGTCTGTTTTTGTCTGTATCTCTTTTAGGCATTACTACACGTTTCATTCGTCAATACACCTGGGTAAGGGGTATTATTTTATTCAGCGATTAAATTGCAACAGGAGGCGCAACCGCCAGCGCCCCATTTATTACAAGACCCGAAGCGACCTGGATTCCCCTGCGCACAGTATGGAGCCTACCATCGTTTAAAAAAGGCTGTACACTATGACACGATGAGCAACAATAATCGTTGACTTTATCGAATCAGGCGCGTTCTCTGAGCTACGTTCGTTTTAAACTATAGATAGACTATAGATGCAAAGAGTTACTAGTTGCTCGCTAAATAGAATGAGGCGGGTTCCCTGGTGCCCCACAGAGTGCTATTTGGCTCCCCGGGCATTCCCGAGAGCACTATAATGCATACGTTCGTTTTAAAGAGTGCGATAGAATATGAATAAGACGTAGTGTTATAGTCATTCACGAAATTGAATCAGGCGCGTCCGCCCTTGCCTCAAAATGGGTGGTATTTACCTAGGCCTATCTTGTGCCTAGCTGTCAGGCTTTCTTCTGAGACCGTAACAACGCGCGGGGACGGGCACATTAGTTCTTAATATTGAAAAGCCCATGTGCGCATTTTTCTTTCTGTCTCTCTCTCTCTCTCTCTTTGTCCGCAACATTATTTAGGCGATGTGATCTGCATGTTAAGCGATATATGGAGCTTAAAGATGTGGTCTTTTGTTGAAAATAATATGTTGGATGTGATAAATGTATAAACTAAATTTAATTTAAAACAGGAAAATAAAAAGAGGCATATTCGATTGTAGAATTACATTTTTAGCTAAATAGCCGGAAAAGTGTTTATTGTCGCAATAAACATGATGACACATGTTTAAACTACGGAAAGGACACACAATGGATGGCGCCATCTTCCAATTTTAGAATATGAAGTAATGAACTGTTTCATTAAATTTGATTTAGATCTATAGATATACTGATCAAGACGTACGATATAAAATGTATACAATTTTCACGCCCAAAAGTAATAGAAATTACTTTAAAACATCAACATAAATACCATTGATCAACTTTGTTTTTTAAACGAATTATTTAAGTCTCTTGATCAGTGCGTGCATTAAATAATTATGTTTCTGTGTTTACTAATAATGTATACAATTTGGTTTTTCTAATAGGTAGTGTAGACGATGCTATTTTAAATGTGTCTAATTTTTAGCTATTAAGTCTTTTCTCTGGTTTGTCTCTAATATCATTCTACGTGTAGTAAAGCACATTGCGTTTTGACCAATAACTATTTAATTTAAAAAAAATTCTCAATCTAGTGCAACATTAAATATGTAGGCCTATAATTCTTCTGATTCTAAAATTGGAAAATGGCGCCATTAGTTTTGTGTAGTTTCCGTAGTTTAAATTTGTGACATGTGACGTCATTTTCATGCGTTCTTGTTGCAACAATAAACACTTTTCCGGCTGCTTAGTGAAAAATGTGTTTCTACATTCGAATATTCGTTTATTTCTATTTACCTTCTTAAATAAAATTTAGTTTACACCAGTAGCGTAGCAAGGTCGGGTGTCACCCGGTTCGGCACTTAATGGTGCCACCCCCCCCCCCCCCAGAGGCGTAGCAACCCTTCCCGGGGACACATTTTCGATTTGCACCCCCCCTCTCAATTTTTTCTCTATATATTTTGCTATTTTTTTGCCTTGGTGTCACCCCCCTAAATGGTGTCACCCGGTGCGGTCCGCACTCCCCGCCCCCTCCTCCCTCGCTACGCCTCTGGTTTACACATTTAAAGTATCCACCATATTATTTTCAACAGAAGTCCGTATCTTTAAGTTCTTCTAAAAATGTTGCTGTCAAATAGAGAGAGAGAGAGAGAGAGAGAGAGAGAGAGAGAGAGAGAGAGAGAAGAGAGGTGCACACATGGGTTTTTATATATTAGGATTCATTTAAAACATACTGGTTTTTAATTAACACAAATATTTCATACGTAATGAACATTTAAACGCTAACAATACTTACGTTTATTAGTGGGCATTTTTCCAGCGCTTTTACTGCGTTTTTGTGTTTTGGTAGATTTTTGTCGTATTTTTGACTCAGCGCAAAATTTAGTGCATTAAGACGATTTGTTGTTTGTTCCTCTAATTTAGCCTTTTTTTTAAGTAATAATTTAATAATATGTTGATTTCCGTTTTTTGATGCTAACATCAAAGGGGTACATTTATTTTTACGATTTACCGAATTAACGCTGCTTCCTCTTCTAATTAGAGCTTCTACAATATTTATGTGTTTATCAGAATTCTGTGCAGCTATCATTAACGCGTTGTATCCCCCAGCTTCAAACGCACCGATGTCTATATTTGGTGTGTTTAAAATTAGCTCCACTGACTTGAAACTTCCTTTATGTGAGGCTAACATTAATGCATTCCATTTTCCAAGATTTTCGCAATCATTAATGTTTGAATTTGGTAACAAAAGCTTTACGCACTTGGCATGTCCATTCTGCGAAGCCAGCATTAATGCAGTATATCCATCCTTGTTTTTCTTAGCGACCAGTTCTTCTCTTTGTGCTATTAATTTGCCTATGATATTTGCGTGTCCTCGCTCAGCGGCAATCATTATAGCATTCCATCCATCTTTATCTTTAACATCTACTCTAGCATTTTTACCCAGCAAAACATCAACAACTTTCTCATACCCCACGTGACAAGCAAACATTAAGGCCGTCCAACCATCCTTGTCAAACGCGTCAATTTTCTCTATGTGTACAGTCAGTAGTGATACAATTTTGTCATATCCTCTCATTGAAGCTATCATCAAGGCATTGCATTGCTGTTTGTCCACTGCATTAACAGATATCTTTTTTCTAATTAGTAATTCAACAGTTGCTTTTTGTCCTTCATGACATGCTAACATTAATGCATTTCGACCATCAAATCGAGCGTTATTTACTTCAGCTTCTGTATCAATTAGTAAATGTATAATATTTTTGTGTCCGTTTTTTGAGGCTAACATTAACGCATTACTGCCATCAAAATCAAAATTATTTACGTCACTACCATTTTCTATTAAAGTTGTGAAAACCTTTTCTCTTCCATATTCAGATGCTATCATTAAAGCCGTCCTGCCGTTGTTTTCAATGCTTGTAACATTACTTCCATTTTTTATTAATATATCTACTATTTGTTCATGTCCGCATTGGGACGCAATGATTAAAGCAGTGTACCCAGCTTTGTTAGTAGTATCAAGTTTACAGTTGCTTTTTTTTTTATTTGTTGGGGTTTCTTTTTGTTCTTTTGGGGTTTCTGTTGGTTCTTTTGGGGATTCTTTTTGTTCTTTTTGAGTTTCATTTTGATCTTTTGAAGTTTCTTTTGATTTCTTTTTTTTTTTAATAAAACTATCTATTAACAGTTCAACTATTTCCTTGTGTCCATATTTGGACGCTAACATTAATGCATTCCATCCGTTACCATCAACAATATTTACATCAGCTTTATTTTTTATTAGAAGCTTAACAACTTCCTTGTGTCCATATTTGGATGCTAACATTAATGCACTCCATCCGTTTCCATCAACAATGTTTACATCAGCTTTATTTTCTGTTAATTTCTTAACAACTTCCTTGTGTCCATGTTTGCAGGCCAACATTAATGATGTCAAACCGTCACACTGAACTTTATTTACTTTAGCTTTATTTTTTAATAAAATGTCTACAACTTCTTCGTATCCGTTCATAGAAGCTAACATCAAAGCATCCAAACCATCAAAATCCGATGTATCAATTTTACAAATGGTATCAACTAAAACTGTAACATCTTTTTTTTTGCTTTTTCCAGTCCTCTCGTGTTGGGTAACTGCATGTATATTTCCTTTTTCTAACAACATTTCAACCGCCTGTCTGAGTCCACATTTAGAAGCAAACATCAATGCGGTACATCCAAGATTATCCGCCTGATTTACTTCAGCTCCCTTTTCAATGAGTGTTTTTATACTTTCACACTCTCCATTTTTAGAGGCTAACATCAATGCGGTACATCCAAGATTATCCGCCTGATTTACTTCAGCTCCCTTTTCAATGAGTGTTTTTATACTTTCACACTCTCCATTTTTAGAGGCTAACATCAATGCGGTACATCCAAGATTATCCGCCTGATTTACTTCAGCTCCCTTTTCAATGAGTGTTTTTATACTTTCACACTCTCCATTTTTAGAGGCTAACATCAATGCGGTACATCCAAGATTATCCGTCTTATTTACTTTAGCTCCCTTTTCAATGAGTGATTTTATACTTTTACAGTCTCCATTTTTAGAGGCTAACATCAATGCGGTACATCCAAGATTATCCGTCTTATTTACTTTAGCTCCCTTTTCTATGAGTGTTTTTATACTTTTACAGTCTCCATTTTTAGAGGCTAACATCAATGCGGTACATCCAAGATTATCCGCCTGATTTACTTCAGCTCCCAGTTCCATGAGTGTTTTTATACTTTCACACTCTCCATTTTTAGAGGCTAACATCAATGCGGTACATCCAAGATTATCCGTCTTATTTACTTTAGCTCCCTTTTCAATGAGTGTTTTTATACTTTTACAGTCTCCATTTTTAGAGGCTAACATCAGTGCGGTACATCCAAGATTATCCGCCTGATTTACTTTAGCTCCCAGTTCAATGAGTGTTTTTATACTTTCACACTCTCCATTTTTAGAGGCTAACATCAATGCGGTACATCCAAGATTATCCGCCTGATTTACTTTAGCTCCCTTTTCTATGAGTGTTTTTATACTTTTACAGTCTCCATTTTTAGAGGCTAACATCAATGCGGTACATCCAAGATTATCCACCTGATTTACTTCAGCTCCCTTTCTAATTAGTGTTTTTATACTTTCACACTCTCCATTTTTAGAGGCTAACATCAATGCGGTACATCCATGATTATCCGCCTGATTTACTTTAGCTCCCAGTTCAATGAGTGTTTTTATACTTTTACAGTCTCCATTTGTAGAGGCTAACATCAATGCATTAATTCCATTTTTAAGAACCAAATCTACTATTGTTTTACTTTCCAAAATGATTTTTATAGCTTCGTTGTCTTTAGCTTTATAGGCTAACTTTAAGTTGATTAACTCCTGCTGATTGCCCATGTTATCTACATTTACCTCGTTCTTAGATTGCAAATATATTTCAAAATGTTTTCTATTTCATAACAGATATTCCTTTTCAGTACTTTTTTGCTTCGATTATGGTCTAGACATTTAACCTACAAAACGTTGTGATCCTTATTGTTAATGACTAAAACAAAAATGACTTTTTAAAATTTCTGCTAATTACAATGTTTACAACATTTCGTTTTAGCAATGTTATTCAGTTTCCAGTAAACATTAAAATGTACGAGGCCTACACTAAGCTTGTAACTAATACTTATCATTAGTATTAATACAGAAGGCCCTACTCAATGAAATATTTTTTTAAAATGTTCTTTTAACCTGCAATAAACAAAAATATAAATAATAACATACACAATAAAAAAACATATAAGAATATACTTTTTTTAGTAAGCGAAATGTTACATGAGGAAAAAAAAATATTTCAGAAACTGCATTATCAAAGCCATTAAGGTCTAAACATAATATAAGACGTTTACGATATTTTTCAACAGCGGGGCTATATCAACGTGTCAGTAGTGTCAATAAAGATTCCCCAGAATATCAATCTTTGACGAAGTTGGTGACATTTACATACATGGCACCCCGTCAAAAGAGCGCACGACAAAAGAGCGCCGACATAAGAGCGCAGACAAAAGAGCGCCGACATAAGAGCGCCGACATAAGAGCGCACTAATTTCCCGACAAAAGAGCGCCGACATAAGAGCGCAAACTAAAAATCGAAAAACCATATTTAATAAATAAAAACAAGAAAATTGACTCAGATCAGAAGGCATCGTTCGATGTTAACTCTTTATTGTTTCATTAAAAAACTAATTGTTCATTTTCTTTAACTAAAAAACTGGTACAATCAACGTGAAGTCCAATTATTCAAAGCTCAATCTAATAACACATACAAAGATTTTAAATGTAACAAAATAAAAATAAGTTCCATCAGCATTTGCTCTGTCCTGTAGACATCTGTAGCCTTCGACCAATATAATAACCTTCACTTTCTGTGATTCTCCATGTTAATTGGATTAGAAATATTTTCAAACTGCATTCATAACATATTAACCATAATATATAAATAAAGACGTTGTTCTC